ACAACCAGTGACGTCACTAGGCTGTTTTGGCCGCGCCAAAATGGCCGCCAATTTTGGGCTTAACCAGCCAACTTCGAACGGCTGAAAAAGTAGTTTTCGCTTACCGTATGCGAAAAAAAAAATTGCAGTGTTTCCAAGTAAGGTTGAAACTTTATTACTAAGCAAAAATCTCACATACAAAAATTTTGTTTCAGTGGCACTTTAATACCCCAACTACCCTCCATCCCTGTCGGCCTAAATTTTGACAACCATATCTTTCATCTATCTTTCCATTTTTTCTAACTTTTCAGTTCATGTCAATTTTGAGATAAAAGTTCTTCCTCTGGGATATCAAATTTGCTTTTAGAGGTTTTTCTCCCCAACAATGTTACAAGTAACATGTTCAATGCCTAGAGTATCTGTTTAACTTGTAGCATCTTACAGGAGTCTAGTCTTCAGTTTTTCAGCTGAACACAATTTTCACTAACAGAGTTTATCAGTGGCATGACAAAATGTAATCCAAGTTGCTGTCCCTCCCCTTGCTTTGTACAGGCCAGTATTGTATTGTATGCTATGGTATCATAGGGTATCTCAGTCAGGGGTAAAATCATTACTGCAGATGAACCCTGTTTTATGGTCAATATGGATGCTTTCTGGGGTTTCTTCACCCCCTATATAAACAGAATTCCATTATAACTAGTTCAGAGTTTGGCTTGTTCATGAATCAAGTCAATTGTATGTATTCTCTCAATTGGCAGGGAATCAAAAAGAAAGAAACAGCTTAGCCGAGGGAGTCAGGATGCAAAATTTGGAAAACAAACTGTCTCCAGTTCTGCAGAGGTATGTTGACCAAATTTTGTTCTGCACCACCTCATTACCACCAGTCAAAAGGCCAGTCAAAATATTTTCATGGCCAAAGTGGATCTCTCAATTAACAGGATTTTACTTTACTTATAACTTAATGATCACTGTACTTAACTTAACAAGGACTCCTTGTACAAAATTGGATTCATACGAAAGTGATACCTTACGAAAACTTAATATAAAGCCTATTTTGGTATTTGTTATGAATTTTTTGTGGCCTTTGTTGTCGCGAAGAGGTGGGAACTGGCCAATGCAGAGGTGGAAGATAATAAAGGACCTGTAGTCATTATAAAGGCTAGTTGGGACTTGGGTAGATTACAGCTAGGACTGCAATTAATTTCAGTGAATAAAAATATGGCAAGCTGTGTGATGATTTTCAATATATTAATTATGGTGTTTCTCATTGTTCCAAAAGCTTCGTGATCATTACAAGCAGCAGCTGTAGTTCACGCTTTCATTTTAAGGATGCTATGGGGAAAATTTCTGCATTCCTGTCTTGGGTGTAGAAATTTGACAGTTGTTTCATGTTATTTCTTTTTGATGCTCAATGTCTTATTACATCTCTTGCTGTTTTTTTTTTTGGCAGAATTCAAAAACTGGAGCTTAAGAAAGATAAAACTGAGAGTGAATCACAAGAACTTGAAGATCTGAAAGCAGAAAGTCTAAGAATCAAGTATGTTTTAATATTATTTTTTCTAATACGCACAAATGTCATGCTCTTTGATGGCTTACATACAACACAAGTGAAGTAAATACAGCAAGTGCCATCTGTTGAAACATTCATGCTGCCAAAAGTTACTTTTAAAGAGGGCAAGAGGTGACAAGCATTGAAGGATCAGTATACAAAGAAAACCAAGTTTCAGGTTTGCCTTTCTGGCAAGCTGTACCGGTAACAGTGTACTTAACCCCCAAATTCCTTCCCACTTGCCTCCCAAAATACTTCAAAAAACATCTCTTGTTGCGCAAGTGGAGGACAGAATTCACCAGCCAACTGCAAAATCAACCACCTAAAATCCCTGGGTTGGACACAAGTTTTCTGCAGTATGTGAGAATTGATAGAATCTGCTTGTTAAAGAAAACCATTGTTAACACCAATGAAACATTGAGCAAGTTCATAATAGTCAAAGTGTCAGAGTGTCAGATGGTGTGAGAGTCGGTGTTGAAATGGTTGGTGTTGAAGGGGAGCAGGGATGGCACACTGGTGAGAACGCTTGCCTCCCACCAATATGGTCTGGGTTCAAGGCTGGCCCTGTGCCATATGTGGGTTGAGTTTGTTGTTGGCTCTTGCCTTGCTCTGAGGGTTTTTCTCTGGGTTCTCTGGTTTGCCTCCCTCTGCAAAAACCATCATCTCCAAATTCCAATTTGACCAGGAAAGAGGACTGACACAAGAAAACCAGCTAAGGCTGATGTGGCTTCCTGTCTAAATGCTGAAATTTATTTTTAATTATTTATTTAAGTGACCGTGATAGTTTGAACTTGTCATCTCTCATGAACTCTATTCATAATCTGTCCAATCCAACATTGAGCATTGCAAGGGATTAATTACTGTAGACACTAGCAAGATACATGTGGAAGGATGCCACAGTTTATAAGCTTCTGTTTTTCTTTTGTGTTCAATATTTTAGAAATTTACCTAAAGAGAAACTGGAACGTGACTTAGAAGCTATTGACTGGGACAGAATAAGCGGTACCTATGTAAGTGAAGCCACTCCTTGTATTAATATGTAGTTGTACCTTTTTTGATTCTCTTTTTGGCAAATAAGGCAAGTTTGGTCAAGCCATGGTTTGTATTTTGGCAAGAGGTGGTCATGCCAAAATACCCATAGCAGGACCAAACTCGCCCTATATGCTGCCAAGGCATACCAAAGAAAAGGTACGATTAGGTATTAGCCATACCCAGACTCGTCCAAACGACTGTGATATTGAATTTGTACCAGGTCAGTGACTTGATATTGCAGAATATCAGGGTAATAGACAAGGCGATTCTGATTGGCTAATTACAAACTTCTGGTGCAGTAAAATTAGAAATGTGTTCAGCTAATGACTGAAACCTTTGCTACTTAGTAATTGAGGAGTGCATCACTAAGCCAGTAGTTAAAGAGCACTTGTCATGTATGGTATACATATGAGTGGTTTTAGCTAGTCACTCAATAATAATAATAACAGTAATAATAATAATAATAACAACAACAACAACAACAACAACAACAACAACAATGTCTTAATTGTAGTCTGCTCTTTTTAATTGACTAGCTGCAAAAACGTTCAGGTTTTCAATGCCGCTTGCAATGGTGTAACTTTGGCCACCCTGATGTCAACCGAAAACCATGGACTAAAGAGGAGGACAAGATGTTAATAAAGCTTGCCAAAGAGCCTGGGAATACCTGGGATGTCATCGCACAAAAACTTCAGGTACATGTATGACTCGGTCTACTACTAGTGTCAGTATCACCTGATGACTGGAAGAGTATCAGTGTGTTTGACTCTTAGGTCGTGTTCTGTTGGGATCAAACGCAACCGGTTTGGGTTGATGTGGACCTACGTTTCTCAATGGCACACTTTTCCAGCCGTTTTCAGTTGGAACGCGGTAACTCCTGGGAATAGTCCTTACGCGAGCTACTATCACGCGAATCTCGCAAATGCTTTTGCAACCGTTTCAAGCTGGTTTGAGGCCGGTTGAAAAAGTTGATCAACCAAACCAACCGAAACCGGTTTTTCCCGATAGAACACGAAAAAAACCTGACTAACCTGACCAACCAGAAACGGTTGATCCCAATAGAACACGACCTTAGATTTAGGGATGTAGCTTTGTTATTGTCAACATCAATATTTTTTGTTGTTAGATATAATCAATGCACTTGCTTTCTTGTTTGTCTCCCCAGACCAAGCGCACTCCCATTCACTGTTATGAACGCTACCAGAGAAGCCTGAATAAAAATCTTTTAAAGAGGTGAAGAGACAGAACCAGTTTATTGTATTATTGTATCAAAGATGAGTTTTGATAATGAAGTAAATGCAGCAGAAGAAGATTAAGGACACGCCCTTGTAAGACACACCCTCACTAGATTTTGGGTGAATTTCCAGCAGAAAGGCAACTGGTTTTTTGACTGAACTTTTTCGTAAGAAAAGCATTTCTCAAGATGGTCAAACCAGGCAGGCAAGATTGTTTTCACAGCACTCTGTTATGAAGCAACCCAGCTGAAGAATGCAATGTCTATGATTATAGAATCTCATCAGGAGCCATAATCGGGGACGGAGACCGTAAGTCTTGGGATCCGCGCGCACCTATGATATGGGACAATTTTTCTATTTTTAGAACAAATTGCGC